TACGTCCAAGAAGAACGAACTTATGAGTCGAGTATAATAAATAAAAGATAGAGAACGATTCATTGTTCGGCATTTCCTATTATAAATTATGCATATCTGAAATGGAAATTTGAATCTAGATTCTCCACGGAGGAAGACTAAAATCTTATAGAGTGGCCATCTGGAAGATTTGTTTTTGCTCTCAAAGTAATCATTTGACATTAGTATAATGAAAACACTTCTTTGATTGCACAGGGTTTTGCAATCATTATGCATAGCTTTTCATAGAATTGAATTTCTGGCTGATTAATCCTGTTCTGAACAGTGCTACTGAATCCTTATTATTTTATTTATTTATTTATTTTACAATTTCTGAATATTTTTACATCAGTTTTAGAACTCGGAAGAAAAGTTTCAAAATATGATGCTGTTTACTAGATATCTTTTCCATGTTTTTAGAATTTTTTCATTTAAAGTGCTGTAAAATACTTAGCATAAGGAATAAAATAAAGAAGGATAGAACGAAAGAAGGACAGAAAATAAAGTCTAGATCTAAAATATCATAATTCTTTACGATTAAGACTTTGTTTTACATCCTTTATCCACGCTGGAGGATTGGACTCACTTATTCACCATGGTGGAAATTGGGTGTTTTCTTAATTTAAAATTAGTTTATAATTAGATATTTAATGAGTATGGTTAAACGTATTACATGAAAATATAAAAATACGTTTAAAATATAAGTAGATAGATCGACCAATAAATGTCGATTTTTAATTAGGAAGCGGAGGAGGAGTTGGGTACCTGGAGATACGATTCGGTCGATTTTAAACAATATGGAGATCAAACTGAAATAAAAAGATCAGCGCGCGTAGTACTTATGGTGGGAGGATCCAGGTTCGAAACTAAATGGGAATCATTGAAGACCTTACCAAACTCGCGGCTAGGTCGGGCCGGACATTCGCAAACTATCGATCAGTTGCTGCGTTACTGCAACCGCTATCATCCGGAGAAAAACGAAATTATCTTCGACCGCCATCCTAGATTTTTCGGCAGCATCCTAAATCTGTATCAAACAGGCGAATTTCACGTGGACAAGGTATGCATTGCTGGATTGAGCGAGGAACTAGTATTCTGGGGAATAGAAGAGATGAGACTAGAACCTTGTTGCCAGATGAGGTACTTCTTCTTGAAGAAACAGTCCGAAGACTTTTTCGCTCTGAAAGAGAAACTTTTGACAGATGCGGATTGGTCCACAAATAATGAGCTGCTTCGAGTAAAGATGTTAATGCAAAACCCTAAATTTTTATGGATTTTTAAGGTAAGATTTTCGTTGCAAATGATATAGAGTTCTAATTAAGATGCTTCAATGTCCTTTTCTTACTAAATTATAAATTTTTTATCTGTAAACAAGCATTCACTATTATCAGGACTTATTATACTGGCTTAACAGACAATACAGAGTTTCACAGAAAACTTTTTATTTAATATTTAATATACAGGTATATTAAATATTAAATAAAAAGTTTTCTGTGAAACTCTGTATTGTCTGTTAAGCCAGTATAATAAGTCCTGATAATAGTGAATGCTTGTTTACAGATAAAAAATTTATAATTTAGTAAGAAAAGGACATTGAAGCATCTTAATTAGAACTCTATATCATTTGCAACGAAAATCTTACCTTAAAAATCCATAAAAATTTAGGGTTTTGCATTAACATCTTTACTCGAAGCAGCTCATTATTTGTGGACCAATCCGCATCTGTCAAAAGTTTCTCTTTCAGAGCGAAAAAGTCTTCGGACTGTTTCTTCAAGAAGAAGTACCTCATCTGGCAACAAGGTTCTAGTCTCATCTCTTCTATTCCCCAGAATACTAGTTCCTCGCTCAATCCAGCAATNGCCATATAAGGAAAAAAAAAATTCTTCAAAACTAAGAAATCAGTTGTAATTATCACGATAACGAAAGATATAAATAGACAAAATTAAAATAAATATTTTGTTAAAGATCAGTTAACAGTTTGTCGAATGGATTCCTTTATTTGTTTATAACAATTAAATCACTGTTCTAAGAACAAAATTATTATGAAACATCAGAACTACTTTAACTACTACAAAACAGTTTAAAAAATCTGCATTTTTTTTACAAAACGGTCTGTTTTGCATCTTTTTTGCAGAGGCGTAGTCTCTAAAGAAAGGTAGTCTCTGCAGTTGAAGGTTATCATTCCTGGTGATTGGACATGGCGAAAGTGAAGACATTCTTCAAAGTCTTTCTACGTATTTTTTATTAATAAATTAATTTATTCGAATTTTGATTACTTTCTTTCCAATAATTTAGTTCAACTTTACATTTTCGAATGTGTAAAAAATCCAAAACGACAGAAAATGTTTTGACTAGTTGACACTTTTCATAGTCTGAATTCATAAAGTTGTTCTGCAACTCTGTCTTTATTAAGTAATACATTGCACTAAATTTTTTAAATTCAGTTTCAAAAGAAACTAGATTGATGTAAAAAGAAAAAATTTTTAACAAAAAATAAAATTAAAACAACAAAATATTTATTTAAAGTAAAATAAAAATATACAAATTTAACAATGCACTTCGATACAAGTAAAATAAAAATTTTAAACATACAAATAACAAAATGCACGTATATATTAGGAAGAAATGTAAATAATTTAATGTTATTTTAAACTAATAAAATGCTATAACAATGACTATTTCATTATAACTAATTTAAATTAGTTATAATGAAGTACAGTAAACCCCCGTTAACTCGTACAACCTTTACACCTTTATTAGTCCGAATTAACCGGGGGTTTACTATATTTCAATGTGAATTACTGTACTCCATTAATTCGTTTCTATAACAGAAAATTTATTTGTATTGACTAACACACAGAAATGAAACACAGTCATACAAAAAAACATTATTTGAACCAAAAAATCAAATTTTATGCAGTAAATTAATCAATTATTCTTATAATCGATAATTTCACGCCATAAATTGAAAAAATATTTTTATCATTGCGAAATTATATTTCGTCTCTCTATTCTTTCTTGTCATTTCTGTAAATTAAATTTAATATAATAATTTATTGTGACAGTTTCAAATTAAACCATAAACGTTATTAATTTATTTCATTCACAATTTTTCTCTTTACAGTTGTATGGCATCATAACCTGCTCTTTGAGTATCTTGGATATCTTTTTGCTCATTATTATTTCCAAAAAAAATTACCATTTATTAGGAATAAAACGAACTCTTTCTATTATTTTCTTTCTCGAATATTTTTTGAAACTTTGTGTCTGTTCCGACAAACGACAATTTTTACTCTCTTTCATCAATACAATAGAGTTGGTGGCAGTGGGACCCTCATTTCTGGTTTACGGTTCTAGACCATTTTCCAGTAATATCCAACATCCAGGTCTCACCATCTGGGACTGTCTGACAGTGTTAAGAGTAATAAAGTTGATCAAATATTACGGGAGTCCAAAAATTCTGGCAGTAGTCTTATTTGCACAAGATATCGGCATGGCTTTCTATTTGTTCGCTTTATTAGCAATGTGCATCTTCTTTTCTACCCTAATATGCATAATAGAAACGAAAAGTTCTCTTGTGAATGTGAATGCTACACTCTTAGATACCTTCTGTTTCGCAGTCACTGCTCTTACCAACGTTGGAGGAGAGTATTTCGTTCCAGAAACTCATGGGGGGAAACTAGTAGCCGGTTTCTGCTGCGTGACAGGTACAATTCTTTTGACTTTGCCAATCTCCTGCATTGTGGCTGAATTTGTAAATCGCTACGGTACCAGCTTCGATGAGTTCGAAATAATAAAATCTCAGATTTCTAAAGAGAAAAAAATTTCCACTGCCACAGTGAAGATACATTCATCCAAGACCGAAACGATTAATCCGTAAGTACTAATAATTTTCATTTAAATTTAGACTAACTAAATTTTCTGAAAGATACCACTACGAATTTTAAATTATATAGAAAAACACGGATTTACTCGTTATATTCACAGAGTTCAATTACAAGAATCATATATTTACTTTTTTTCTGAAATCGAAATGGAAAAATGTTGCCTCCTTACAATGACTGACTAATCCTCAGAGGGCCTAAGACAAAACTGTAATTCGGGCCCTGTGCTACGCTTTTGTATTTCATTAAACTGTTTCCTTGTTTTCATGCTTTTTTGNAAATATATTTACTTTTTTTCTGAAATCGAAATGGAAAAATGTTGCCTCCTTACAATGACTGACTAATCCTCAGAGGGCCTAAGACAAAACTGTAATTCGGGCCCTGTGCTACGCTTTTGTATTTCATTAAACTGTTTCCTTGTTTTCATGCTTTTTTGTAGAACTATATTATTTTTAATAATAATTATTGAAAAATATATTTATTTTCTCATTTATATCGTTTATACTATAAACTTTATAGTATTGAGAATTTCTAACTTTTCGCCGGGTCCTTGAAATTTACGAGCCCTAGACAATTGTCCTTTTTTTGTCTAGGGCATAATCCGCAATTGTTTCTAAAGCCTATATGCTGAAATATATGTTTTTTTCAGCTACTCATTAAACATTATTTACTCT